TTCAGTTTCACCTTCGGGTTGCCCTGTGTATACTTCTCGAATAAAATAATTTTCTAACTCATATCTGTCTTGTACTAAACCCTGAACCCCTTGTTGCTGAGGTATCTTCTGATTGGCTCAGATAACGGGGAGTATGTATGGCGAAAGTACCGTAGCTTCATCAACTTGTAGCTGCGGTGCAATAGTTCACTGTCCAGTGTCATTCTTGAATGCGAATTCCTCAAAGTGCTTAGTAAAAATGTCGAATTTCCGCGAAAGAGGCGTTGCACTTTTATTGCACTCGTAAGCGCATTTTCCTCACGATTTTTCTAAAAAGAACAGGCGGGCATACGACCTCAGATGTAAATATCTGTTCGGTTTCCGGAGAAGGGAACGGAAATCCCAAAGTCAAGTGATGGCATCCTGTTCGCAAAGTATTTGCTGTGTATATGTTTTTTCGCTGGCTGTCAGAACTGGTAAAAATATCGTTCCTTGTTGGGTTTATTTTAAATGAGCTCACCATTCATCAATAAGGTGAAGGTTCATTATATTCTACTTTTGTACTTTTTGCTACTATGATATGTTTGTCCTGGTATGGCGTGTGCTATTTTGCGCAGCATATTACTGTCTCAGAATATTTTGCACCGATTTCCATACGTATGCCCTTTTTACATTTGATACTATTGAACAAACATCTGCTAGTAGGTGCATACAGCTCTAACCTCCAATGCTGTATAGTAGTCGATGTAAAGTAAAACAATAGTACATATAATTTAAATGTTATGCTTATGAAATGGAATATATCAAATGAGGCTAAAAGACGAATATTTATAGGTAATATTTCGCATATACTGTTTATCTGTATATCTACTGTTGCATGCATATACAGTTTCCACGAATATTATTGTATGGTAGTAGTTATAGAAACTCGTACATCTAGCACTTAAATATTTATGCAATAATTTATGCCTGTGTTATAGTATCCATCTAATAAACGCGAAATATTTCATCAAAAAACAAAAGTGCATTGATTATGTGTAACTTTGCCTTTGGTCATGAAAATTAATTCCAGCATGAAAACGTTTTTTGTATGAAAAATGTCATAACTGGGTTCTATTGTAGCTAGTTTCACCCCGGTAACTATTTTTCTGAAGCTGTTTTTAGGATATACAGCACCTGAGAGGCATTGGGAAGCGTCTGGCTGACAAGATCTGGGAAATACATCAATTTGGTGAACTGCGTAAAGCTGATGATTTCGCTGCCCGCAGGGATGTTCGTCTGTTGAAGCAGTTCAGTGACATTTGGGGTGTCGGACCGGTACTGGCCGAGCAGCTGGTTGCCGAGGTTCGTGAATAAATTTCCTCCCATTTGCTTAAAATGGCAGAATATATATATGGCTAAAAATTCTGAATTCTGCTTGAGATTGGTCTGAAACTTCTCTGTTCCATGTGAAATGATTGAAAAATATGAACCTGTGCCTTTGTTTCCTTTTGCGACATTTACCAGCACATTGTCATCACTCGCATAAAGAACTCCCACTAGTTTTATAAATTATAACAATAATTTCAATTAAAGCAAAGTTCATTAAGGACCAGACGTCACGGCATAGTGCCCGCCTCCTTGCTTATAGTTTCCTAAGAGTTCATTTAAGCAGATTGAGGGTACACTGTATTTGAGCAACTGTAGTGTGAGATGCATTTTACGCTATTCCTTTCATTAGAGCGACCTCACACTCATCACGAACGATGTTTCAGGAGCTGGTGCTTCTTTAGTGCTGCCACATAAACATTAGAGTATGTTTGAATGTCGATGTATATCATTAACGCATAACTCTTTCAAGACTAGATTAAATCAATATAGATTGATGATTGGGCCATTTACACGGTCCTGACCTTAAACATTCATTGATTATTCATTCCTCTCCTAAGGAATTTTGTCAGACTTCTTTCTTTTAACTCAGTTTTTTCTGGCCTGGGTCTGATGCATTGCTAAGAAAGGCCAGACGAAGCAGTGAATGCTGTTTTCTTGTAGAATGGGCTTGAAAACAGATTTTAGAAAGAGAAAGTTTGAAGGAATTTGATGGAATCCTTTGCTGACGTTTGGCACTTTTCTTACAGCATGGCTAGCCGTTGTGACAACATCAAGGATCTCAGGGCAAGATTGTCTGTCGTGAAGCTGCATCTGCATTTCCTTTGCTAAGAGGAATTTAAGTTGCATTTACTACATAATTTATTTCCTGGTTATGTTCTATGCCCCATAAGCAGATGTACACATCAGTCGAATAACGAGGAATATATTCAGAAACAATAAGCCGATATGATGTTTTCTAAGCACTTCCCGCGGTGCATCGCTTACTCTTAACAAATTCACCTCTGCCGCCATCCAGGATGCATTAAACGTTAAATGCAAGTGTTAATATTTGTCCTCCTAGCCTAAAGTTTTTTGCAACTTTTGTCATGTATGTTGTCCATACACCTCCCTTCATTTTTTCTTCTGGTAATTATGTTCATATTTTCAGGGTTTCACTTCGTTGGAAGATCTGAAACACTGTTCCAAGCTTACGAGGCAACAGAAAATAGGCCTGAAATATTACAACGAAATTTTGGAAAGAATGGATCGAAGTGAAGCGGCTTTGATCGGCGAAACGGTGTGCATGCGGCTGCTGCTACTGGTGTGATGATGATATGCAGACGACGATGCGCTTTACTATAATTGTGTTCATGATCATTTTGATGATGAGAATTATTATATCGATAATCAGGAGAATGGTTGAGGGCGGTGATAATTGCTAGATGGCGACAATGTATTTGATGTTGTAATCAGCGGTGTATTTGAACATTATGCTGTATTGCTTATCGTAGGAAACTAATTTGCATTTTTAATTTTTCTCTTCAATAACTGCTAGTGCAGCTGCAAAGTGATTTTTCTTATGCTCCGTATTAATTCTACATTTCTGAGTGATTAACTTAAAGTAAATTTTTTTACGGTTATATAAAACACTGTATACCGTATGCTAATTTGCTTTGCGCTGTTCTTATATTTGCTTGTTCAGGTAATCAATTTGGTTAAGAAAGTCGATGCAAACTTCATTTGTGAAATTTGCGGGTCCTTCCGCCGTGGT